TGAATTGACACTAATCACTATAAAATGACCTTGTCTATAGTAATAGTTTTTGTTTTAAAGTCTTTTAATGAATGTTATTGGGTCAAATAAGTAAATTTCTTTTCTTAAATATATTTTATTGATTATGCTATTACACTTGTCCCAGTTTTTCCCCCTATGAACCCCTTTCCCCGGGGCCCCCCATTCCCTCCAGCAATCCCCTTAGTTCACATCCATGGGTCATGCATATAAGATTTTTGGCTCCTCCATTTTCTATACTGTTTTTTTTTTCCTAAAAAGATTTGTATTTATTTTTAGAGAGAAGGGAAGGGAGAAGGAGAGAGAGGGAAGCACCAATGTGTGGTTGCCTCTCACATACCCTCCACTAAGGACCTGGCCTGTAATGCAGGCATGTGCCCTGACTGGGAATTGAACCAGTGACCCTTTGGTTCTCAGGCAGGCACTCAATCCCCTGAGCCACACCAGCCAGACCCCTATACTGTTCTTGACATCCCCCTGTCTATTCTGTACCTACCAATTTGTACTTTTTTTCCCATGAACTAAAAAAGAAATTTGCTTATTGAGGGCAACAGGATGCAAGCAATATAAAAACCAAAAGCTTATCTGGCTTTAATTGGCTTTTCTTTCTCTTACCAAATGTAGGGTGGGATCTTATTTGTATATTTTCTAAGGGTGCCAATCTGTTCATGAAATCCTTACATAGGAAGAAGCAGCTGGGCAGAGCTGCTTCACCAGAGATTCCTCAGGTGACCTACTGGGAGAATTCTTTATTAGGGAGGAAGTAGCTGCTCAGCAGCCTACTTCTTTCCCTTCTGCTTCAGGTATACTACAAAATAGTCACTGCATGTGATGGTGAGCCCAGCAATCAGCGAAAAGAAGCTCTGGAAGCCCCCTCAGCCATCTCAGCATTGGTCCAGATCTTTCAATATTTTGTCTATGGCCAGAGAGTCTTTTGAGTTTTCAAAAATCCAGGGAAATCCTTTTCCATGAATACTCTCAGGTCCTCTTTTGTTAAGTAGCCTTTATCCCCAGCATATTTGTGAAATGTGAACATCATGGTTTCCATGGTGTGCTCCAGCTGAGACAGGATTTTGGTGAGGTCTTGGCCCGAGGTGCGTCAGGATTGCTAGTCTGGATGGGATGTGTGGCCAGTAAGTCCCAATTGGTACTTCTTAATCCCTGAATCTTTTCCCCCCATTCTCCTCCTCCTTCTTCCCAACTGATAACTCTCCAAGTGATCTCCATGTCTATGATTCTATTTGTTCTGCTTGTTTGTTCAGCTTGTTTTTTAGATTCAATTGTTGATAGATATGTTGTCATTTTATTGTTCACACTTTTGATCTCTTCTTTTCCTTAAATAAATCCCCCCCTTTAACATTTCATATAATAGTGGTTTAGTGATGATAAACTCCTTTAGTTTTTTCTTGTCTGGGAAACTCTTTATCTGACCTTTGATTCTAAATGACAGCTTTGCTGGGTAGAGCAATCTTGGCTGAATGTCCCTGCTTTTCATCACTTTGAATACTTTTTGCCAATCCCTTCTAGCCTAGCTTCTTTTGAGAAATCAGCTTACAGTCTTATGGAAATTTCCCTGTAGGTAACTAACTAATTTTCTCTTGCTGCTCTTAAGATTCTCTATCTTTAACGTTGGCATTTTAATTATGATGTGTTTTGGAGTGGGCCTTTTTGCATCCATCTTGTTTGGCACTCTCTGTGATTCTAGGACGTGCATGTCTATTTCCTTCACCAAATTAGGGAAGTGTTCTTTCATTATTCTTTCAAATAGATTTCCAATTTCTCTTCTTCTTCTCATACCCCTATGATCCAAAAGTTGGTACATCTGAAGTTGTCCCAGAGGCTCCTTAGCCTATCCTCGTTTTTTAAATTATTTTTTCTTCTTGCTATTTTGAATGAATATTCTTTTCTTTCTTATGTTCCAAATCATTATTGATTCTTGGCTTCATTCACTCTACTGGTGTTTCCCTGTAAATTTTTCTTTATTTCACTCAGTGTAACCTTCATTTTTGCCTGGGCCTTTTTGATGTTGTTGAACTACCCAATGACTCCCTTAAGCATCCCTAATAACCAGTGTTTTGAACCCTGCATCTGAGAGATTATTTCTCTCCATTTTGTTTAGTTCTTTTTCTGGAGTTTTTTTCTATTCTTTCATTTGGGCCACATTTCTTTGTCTCCTCATTTTGGCAGCCTCCCTGTGTTTGTTTCTGTGTATTAGGTAGAGCTGCTTTGAATTCCTGTCTTAGTAGCATGGCCTCTTACAGAAAAGCGCACTGGTAAGATGGATGGGTTGAGCTCTAGGTAATCACCAGGATGAGGCAACCTGTGTGAATCAGGTTGATGGAATCTCCAATATAGTGTTCCTGCTCTGTGGCTGTGTGGGGGAGGACTCAGAAAGGGCACAATGCCACTGCCTGGCCTCTGGAGTTTTGTCTGGGAGGAAGCTGTGCCCTGGCACTCACTCTGACGTCAGATAATTCAGTTTCTCCCCATATGCCACTGGTGTCCTTTCAGCTGCTGCCCCAGTGGTGAAGCCCAAAGGGGATAAGTCTGTGTAAGTCCTTTAGTTAAGTCTGTTGCAGGTTCTTTAACAGGAGACTCCTCAGAATTTTGCAGTTTCTTAGCTGCCCCAACCCCCACTGGTTTTTACAGACAGAAGTTATGGGTATTTATCTTCCTGGCACTGGAACCCTGGGCTGGGTGGTCTGGTGTGGGGCTGAGATCCCTCCTGATTTTTATCCACCACATGTAGGTGTGGGGCTACCTATTCCACATCTCCAGAACCCCATGCCTCTCTGCCCCTCCTCTCATCCAGATGAATGTGACTTCTTTAATTCCTTGGTTGTCTGACTTCCATATAGCTCAACTTCTGATGTTTCTGGGTGATATTTGTTTCGTAGTCTAGCAGTAATTTTTGCTGGAGTTATGAGAGGAGGTGAGTCATGTTAACCTACACCTCCATCCTGGGGGGAGAGAGAATTTGCTACTATAATAAGTAAATTTCTGACATCTATCTATTTCTTTGGGATGTTATTACCTTTGTCTTATCTGTATTTTTTAAAGAATTTTATGAATTTAATTGCTTACCCATTCTCAATTAAGGAGTAATCTATTTGGCCCAAATATTTGCTAACAATAACTAACATATGACTTGCCTTGGCCCCAAACTCTAATTGGATTCTTCTCATATCTGTGGATGTACAACACATTAATAAACAATGGGTATTAGAACAATTCCAAGGCTTTCATCTGGAGTAACTTCACTGGTCTAAGGAAGGATTGTTTTCTCAGAATAGATGGAGAACATGGAAAACTACAATCTCAAGTATGTACAGTTACCAGTTCTCTTATCTTATTGAGGCATTCAGTACTTTATTTATAAGAAAAATATTTCTAGGAAAAAATGCACTACCCCACACCTCTGAGTCATTTTCTCCTCCCACCACTGTCCAATTTTACTCAAAGTTAATGCTTCTAAATAGATGAAATAGTCATGGATATGAACAGAGAATAGGAAAAAGTATTGGGACACCTGATCGGATCTGTTGATAAAGACATCTGTCTTCTAAAACAGGGGGCTAAAAGTGATAGAGAAATCAAAGATTTTCATACCTACACTCAATTGAGTGAGCTAGGCTTGTTTCAGTTCTCATAGCCATTAAGTATGTTTTTAAAATCATAGCGTTCCAAGTAATAGAAATTTCTTCCAGTTTCTGGTTAAAGGCTTAGTAATCAATCCTAATATGTGGTAATATGAGCACTTTTATGATTCTTTCTTTCAGTGGTATCATTGTGGGGAATTAAGAACAGTTATACCAGGGACTTTAACTCAATTACTATCAGATACTAGTTTTGTCCTCTCAAAATTAACCAAAACCAAAACCAAAACAAACAAACAAAAAACAAATCCCAAAACAAAACTGCCTAAGACCAGAACAACTTATCCTTTCTGTGTAACTTCTGCACATATAAAGATGCCTATTGACAAGTCATGTAGAAAATAATTTGTATCTAAAACCGAACCAAGTCATCTCCTGTAAACCACTCAAAATGTTATTCCATCAATCAAAACCCCACACCACATTTATTCGGTATCCTTATTTTAAAATCCCCATGGGAAGTATTTATTGAGAACTCCAGGAGGTGTTCTTCATTTTCTAGATTTGCAGTTGCCCTGGGATGATCTCATAGGAACGCTATGGGATATTTTAAAATTCTAGGGAAACAACAATGATATTTGCTATCTGGTATACACTACACAAACTACTAGCTTAAGGCAAAGTTTCAATATTAGATAGTGCTACATTCCTTTCAATACTGTTGTATCTTCATAAATTTGATTTTTGACAGTTTCTGAAATAAAAGCAGGAAAATAGGGTGGTTATGTCCAATTTTATCTTAAGGTGTGAGAAGGTGTACAGTGCCCTAGCTATTTCACATGTCTCATTAGTAAATAACTGCTTATTTCTATATGACTTGTCTAAGGCATCTTTATATGTGCAGAAGTTACACAGAAAGGTAAGTTGTTCTTTAAAAGAGCAAAACCAAAACCTAATATTTTTATTTTTTATGTTGTCACATCAAAACAACAAGCATTTGTATACTAATAACTTACTAGTTATTTGAAAAAATACTTCTTATAATTTTGAGTTCCACATAATGATGAGGAAAAATAATCACTGAAATACAGAGGGCTCTGTAAACAGAGAAAACTTGGAAAACTTTGACCTAGACAGAGTCCAGTAACTCAAACAAAAAACTGTCCATACAATTTTCTTCATCAAATATTTAATATTTTGTTTAAGTGTACATAATATATCTGACCAAATAACTTGTCTATCTGAACCAAAGACTGAAGCATGGAAAGCTCCATATTTCCCAGAAAAATTAAATAGCATGAACTTTCATATGTCATTCCAGAATTAACTAGCCAATTCACATATAACATTTCAAAACAAAAAATTTTAAATAATTCTGTATAGTACCTGAGTGTGAGCTCTCAATGGTGGTGTCTGACTTGGAATCCAGAGATGAAGGAATTTGACCTAAGTGTGGAACATAGTACATCTTCACACTGCCAGAAGGTTTATATGGCAACAGTGAAGGCTGGGCTAAGGAGATAAACATCAGAACAATAAGTAAGGAAACATTTAATAACTCAAAAAACAAATACTGAGTATCTTCAATGTGCCAGATTTCTTAGGATCTATCAGTGAACTACACAGAAAAGTACTTCTGCCTTAAGAGGAAGATTAATAGTAAACAACATACTATATAGGTAAATTACCTAGTATTTTAATAAATTATAAGTGATTTAAAGAAAATAATTAGAAAATGATGAGGGCAATTAGGAATACCAAGGAAACTGGGGCAGGATGTAGGGCTAGTAAAGTCTCAGACTATTTAGGAACACTTATATCACTCCACCAGGCAAAAACAAAACAAAACAACCCCCAAAACAAAATAAAGCAAAACTAAAACCAACAACACACACACATGCACAAAAATCCCCCCAAAACCTAGCCAATGAGAACTTGACTGAAGTTAAGAGGAACAAAGTATCTGTAGAGGGAAGCATTTAAATAACAGAAAAAATTGCTGTAGCCTACATGTCTATTTGGTCACTGCTGCAATCATTATTGTTAGAATATGGTTTTATTAGTTTTTTTCTACCAGTGTACATAAAGCTTGATAGTGATGGTTAAATTTACCATTTATTTCAAAGGTTGCAGAAAATGAGTAACAACACTGAGGCAGAACTACAACGGACCCAGAGCAAGAACAGTTATAATGTGGAGACAGAGAATTCTGAGAAAGATAAGTGGCCTTTTAAAATTCTTATCAAATCCAGTTTATGTTTGGATGTAATAGTCTTAGGGATAGTCTGGACAGCTTATCTTTGGGGGAAAGAAGTGACTACACAGCAAATAATGGTTGCTTTTGGGAAAAAAAGAACAGCAAAGGGTTATAGAAAGTTCAACTATAAATTTCGTCAAAAAAACTTAAAAATAGAACCAAATAGAAACAGAGTAAATTATTAAAAATTTGTTAATTCATAACAAATGGGCAGATAATCATGTATTTAATGTATCATTCTTTGTACTTTAAAATGGCTCCACATACAAAAACCCCATAAAATTTTACTTTTTAAGTCAAGGTATTAAAAATATTTTATTAATAAACCAAATAATATTAATTCTTTAAAGGGTGCTACCAGGTATCTGTACATAAAAGTAAAATCATAAATTGTGGCTCTTATACAGATTAATCCATTTTGATGTGAGGAAAGGTTTAAAATACACTTTCATGGTTGGGTTTCCCCTCCTCTGCTTCTCACACCATCATGAAAACAAGGTACATACCCTAGGGCAGTATTAGCCTGGGTTTCAGAACAAGGCAAGTGGAACAGAACTAAGCCATTTCTGCTGCCTAGAGTCAAACTCCAATTGACACACAAGCCAGTGAGTGAGAAAAGCAAATGTTTGTTGTTATAAAGGACTGAGATTTTTGGGGGTTGTTATGTAGTATCACTGTGGCAAAAAGTAACAGACACATAAAAGTGTTCTTTGTAATATTTATTAAAGTGTATACTTTGGCAGTTTTATTTCACAATAAAAATGTATAAGAAGTATAACCATCTTAACATATAAATATACTTATTTAATATACTTATTTAAATTAAATTCAATGCAATTTAAATGCTGAACCAAGCAATCTTCTTTATCCATTTAGGCATATCCCATCTGTATCCAGATAGATAAACTTTATGCATAAGTAGGAAAATTTTAAAAAGATTTAAATAGATTTGAGCAGAATTCCAGCCAAGATGGAGGCATAGGTAGACATGTTGTGCCTCCTTGTACAACCAAAACAAGGACAACAACAACTGAGAAACAAAAGCAACTAGTACCAACAGAAAATTGAACTGCATGGAAGTCCAACAACCAAGGAGTTAAAGTAGACATATTCATCCAGACCAGTAGGAGGGGTGGAGTCGGGTGGCCGGGCAGAGAGGGGTCGCAGCAAAAAATAAATGGTGGCTGATGGACCCCGGGTGCGCAAAGTGGCGGCTGGTGGAACCCAGGTGTACAAGGTAACAGCTGGCGGACCACGGGCACGCAAGGCAGCAGCAGGCAGACCTAGCAAGGTGGTGGCCTGTGGAGGAGTGCAGCACACAAGGCAGCTGGCAGACCAGGCGGTCCCACATTCACACACAGATAAACCAGGTGAAATTGTGGAGTGAGACAGACCGCGCAACCCAGGGTCCCAGTGCTGGGATATAAAGCCTCAAAACATGGACTGAAAACACCTGTGGGGGTTGAGGTGCTAGGAGATACTCCCAGCCTCACAGGACTACAACGGACCCAGAGCAAGAGTTTGTTGGAGAGACCCACAGGCTCCTAGAAGTACACACTCACCCACATGGGAATCAGCACCAGAAGGGCCCCATTTGCCTGGGGGAAGTGGGGGAAGTGACTGAAATCCAGCAGAGAGCCAAGCAAGGGCCATTGTTCCCTCTTGGACCCCGCCCCTACGTACAGTGTCACAACCCAGCCACATGGGTTGCCCTGCCCTGGTGGACGCCTAAGGCTCTGCCCCTCACTATATAACAGGCGTGTCAAGACATGGTCCAAATGAAAGAACAGATCAAAGCTCCAGAAAAAATATAACTAAGCAACGAAGAGATAGCCAACCTATCAGATGCATAGTACAAAACACTGGTGATCAGGATGCTCACAGAATTGGTTGAATTTGGTCGCAAATTAGATGAAAAAAGGAAGGCTACGCTAAGTGAAATAAAGGAAAATGTACATGGAATCAGTAGTGATGGGAAGGAAAATGGGACTCAAATCAATGGAGTGGACCAGAAGGAAGAAAGAAACATCCAATCAGAAAAGAATGAAGAAACAAGAATTCGAAAAAATGAGAGGCTTAGGAACCTCTGGGACATCTTTAAATGTTCCAACATCCGAATTATAGGGGTACCAGGAGAAGAGGAAGAGCAACAAGTGGAAAAGTTATCTGAACAAATAATAAAGGAGAACTTTCCCATTGTGGCGAAGGAAATAGACTTCTACGAAGTCCAAGAAGCTCAGAGAGTCCCGAAAAAGTTGCAACCAAGAAGGAACACACCAAGACACATCATAATTACCTTAGCCAAGATGAAAGATAAGGAGAAAATCTTAAAAGCAGCAAGACAAAAGGAGACAGTAACCTACAAAGGAGTGTCCATAAGACTCTCAGCTGATTTCTAAAAAGAGAGCTTGCAGGCAAGAAGGGGCTGGAAAGAAGTATTCCAAGTCATGAAGGACAAGGACCTACATCCAAGGTTGCTCTATCCAGCAAAGCTTTCATTTAGAATGGAAGAACAGATAAAGTGCTTCTCAGATAAGGTCAAGTTGAAGGAGTTCATCATCACCAAGCCCTTATATGAAATGTAAAAGGGATTTATCTAAGAAAAAGATAAACATTATGTACAGTAAAATGACAGCAGACTCACAATTATTAACAACCATGCCTAAAACAAAAACAAAAACAAACTAAGCAAACAACTAGAGCAGGAACAGAACCACAGAAATGGAGAACACATGGAGAGTTAGCAACAGGGGAGTGGGAGGAGGAAAGAGGGGGAAAAGGTGCAGAGAATAACATAGATTGTAGGTAGAAAATAGGGGGAGGGTAAAACTAGTATGGGAAATGTAGAAGCCAAAGAACTTGTAAGTATCACACATGGACATGAACTAAAGGGGGGAATGTGGGTGGGAGTGGGTGTGCAGGGTGGAGGGGAGTGAAGGGGTGAAAATGGGACAACTGTAATAGCATAATCAATAAAATATATTAAAAAAAGAAAATAAATAAAATTAATAAACATATCCTTGGGTGAGGATTAAAAAAATAAAATACATAGATTTGTGCAAACTATTATACTTTATAAATAGTAATCTATAATTTCCATTCTCAGTTGGGGGAAGAATGGAAACTTAATTATTAATTTTCCTGTTACTGGTCTGAAAAAGAAAATAACTTACTCTAATTTTGAATATTATATAGTGTAAGTACTACTGAAATATCACTGTCACAGTAGCATTCTCAATGTAGACCTTATGTTAGAGATGGCTAGCTGTTCACCAAAATCCGTCTCTTCTTCACCATGAAAAACACAGCTAAACTATTCCTATACTGTGGAAAGTCATCCAAGCCACTTTCTGGTCTACCCCATAAAAACTTCCCACATGCACTCTCCCATGATTTTTGTCCCTTCCAGTTGACTGTGATAGTGAACTCAAGGTCATAATGGGTTCCATGTTTCAAGAACAGCAGGGCCACAGCTAACCTGGGTATCTGATCATTGTTTTATGATATTGTATTTGCATTATTACATTTATTTGTACCTATTTATTATAATATATAACATTAACTATAAGACAAAATGCCAAAAATTCACCTGCCTACCTAAATTCGAACCACTACAGTTTTTTTTTTAAATCCTCACCCAAGGATATACTTATCGAGAGACAGAGAGAGAGAGAAATAGAGAGAGAGAGAAACATTGATTTGAGAGAAACATCGATCAGTTGCCTCCCATACATGCCCCGACCGGGGACTGAACCCACAGCCTAGGTACGTGCCCTGACTTAGGATCAAATCTGCAACCTTTTGGTGTACGGGACGACACTCCAAGCAACTAAGCCACCTGGCCAGGGCAGGAGCTCTGTAGTTTTTAAGTTTCTACGTAATATCTGTGTTCTTATTACAAGTATTATGAGTTAAAAAATATATCAACCACAAGCATCATGAGTTCCATATTTGTTAACTCCACTAGAAATTAAGGTAAAAACATAATAAATCATATTCTCTTCATGGCTGTGCATTTAAAAGTTAAGTATAATCATGTGGCTCCTAATGCTTACAAGTAACACTAGGTTTTCTGACTACAAAGATACAATCACAAATTTCTAAGATAATTACACACAAAAGTTGATAATGTGACCTAAAATGCAACCCAATTCTCTTACCTCCATTTGTGCCATCAGGAATAGTAACCTGTGGGACTGAAGATGATGAAGCAAACCTGACAGGAACTTTGCCCACCTTCTGGGAACTGGGCTTTGAAATTTCATGTCCGCGATCTTCACTATTAATAAAAATCTCAGATGAAAACATAGCCTTTCCTGGACTTTCTGTTGTAATCTGAGTGACTGCATCAGATGATAATTTTCCAGAGAAGGCAGAAAATGCGGGTTTAATCTCCAGTGATCTGAACAAATAAGAGAATGGGACAGCAGGTCATATCTTTGGCTTATAAAATACCATAATATTTTCCCAAAAGTGGCTTCTAGGAATACTTAAGTATTTTCAAGGAATGTTTTGTACATACATACCAACCTTAAACGGTTATTTCTGCAGTAACCTTTGCTTTCTTAGATACTTATTACAATGCAATCATACAGGAGTTTACTTTTGTTTGTTTTATAATCTACTTTTAATTTAAATCAATGCTATTGCATAATTTAGCTAAGGAAAGAGTATGTTTCAGTTCAAGCAAAAATCCATTTGTTCATTCATTCATTTTTATAAAAATTACTAGAGATCCAGTATAAATTAGGGGACTGTGCTAAAGTATAGAGTACATAAACAAGAAAAAAAGCCTTCCCTCAAGGAGTTTATGTCAGTGGGGGAAACATAAGTTTTCAAAGTTGTAATTACATATTAAGGTTATAGAGAATGCATATTAAAACAGAATGGAGCAAATAAATGACTGAATAAATATCTAACAGGAGAGAAATGACAAATCTTGCTTACAGAAGAATTCCAAATAATAAATGTAGATTACCATCCTCCAACCCTCTTCACAAGGAGGTGAAGATTAATCTCTCCTTCTCCCTTGAGTATGGACTAAAATTTAGTGGCTGGATTCTAAAGAACAGAATATAAGAAGGGAGAAACAGGTCCTGACTGGAGTGGTTCAGTTGGTTGGTCGCCAGTTCAATTCCTGATCAGTGCACATGCCTGGGTTGTGAATTTGGTCACAGGTCCGGGCATGCAGGGAAAGGCAACTGACTGATCAATGTTTCTCTATGACACTGATGTTTCTCTCCCAGTCTTTCTCCCTCCCTTCCCCTCTCTCTAAAAGTAAATACATAAATAACACCTTAGAGCAATTATCCTAATTATTTTGAAATGTAGAGAATGTGCACTGTGAGAGTAGCAACAAAGTAAGGATGCCAACTCTTACCATTTATACTCAACATTTTACTAAAGGTCTTAAATGGTATCAGCAGTTAAAACAGGAAAAAGAATGATAAGAAAGGAAGAAATAATACTGTCATTTTCATATTTGATATAATTTTGAGAAAAAACCTAAAACAATCTATAGATAACTTATTAGAATGTTTTTAAAAAATTGCCAGATATGAAATTATATTTAAAAAAAATATATTTTTCAGTATTAGAAATTATGAAATTGAAAGCTAAAAAAAATACCATATATAATATTATAAAAAATACCTAATAAGTATACTAAAAGATATAAACACTCTAAGTAAAATACTGTTAATACATGACAGATAGAAATTAAAAGTAATCTAAAACAGGATCCACTTCCAGGAGGTTGTTGTAGATAGCCACAGGCCATCATTCCTACTGTAATAAGCAAACTAAGTTGAATAAATTATAAAAATCATACTAAAAAATTAGAGAGTTATGGGAGCAATAGGAAAACAATGCCAACTGATATGCTAGAGAAGGGCATCTTAGAAATTATGGGCAGGGGCTTGGTATAAGCAGACACTCCACAGGAAAAAGTGAAACCAACAGAGTTTTTGCTGAACCCATGGGCTGGCACGATAGAGTGAATTCTAGCAGAATGCCAAGTTGATTTCCTCCACAGGTCATTTCCTTAGTGTTAGAGTGGTATGGGAAGATGGGGAACTCAGCCAGAAAAGCAGAGTGAAATCTCCTGCATAATCATGGCACCAGTAACAAACTAATTCCCACTAAATAATGGGGCTTATGATAAACCTCAGGTCTCCTCACATTTGCCAGATTTTGAACCTACATAAGGCAGGAAGCTAAATAACTAATGCTGGATGTGGAGAACTTTCAAGGCGAAAAATAAGAGGTCTACCAGACTTGCATTAAAAAACCCATAAGTGCTGCCTCTAAGAAGGGAGCTGAGAAAACAGCGAAATATATCTGTAACCTTTTGAGTGCTTATGAAACAAATTTCCATTGAGAAAGTATAACCACAAAAACATATAACTAGTTTTCCCTTACATTCTGAAGCTGGGAAAGCTGAGAGTCCAAAGAGCTGAATTCAAACATCTGAAAGACTGAACTGAATATCTCTCACTATAATTTAATTACTGAAGAATAAAAACCTTGTCAGCTTAAAGCAAAAATCCAAACCGATCATTAACAATCATAGGTATTGTGAGTCAACTAAAGCTCCAAGCCTATTCTGATCTAGTAAAATTCCTGAAATTTTGATCAGGCATTCTATCTTGTTAACAGAGAAAAGGGCAAATCTTTTCTGTTGCAAAGTGATAGCATCTTCAGTCTATAATTTTTCTATTCACAATGTCAAGCATACAAGCAAAAATTATTTGTGAGGCAGGAAAAAAGTAAAAATTGTACGAATACAGGAATTGATTTACAGGGGATTCAGACACTGAAGTCAGCACAGAAGTACTTTAAAATGATTATTAATGTACTAAGAGAGCAAAGATGGTTGATAATAAAAAATATAAAGAATCTCAACAGAAAATTACAATCTATTTTAAAATAGAAATAAATAAAAAGGAACTAATTCCCCAACAGACCTCAGGAAATACCAAAAGAAAATTTTTTTAGGCTAAAGTTAAATGATCCAACAAAGTAAAGAACTGCAAAGAGTAAAGAATAATAAAGAGCACTTAATGAGTATCATATACATGTACATATACATACATATACACCTTTTATATATACATATAATTATATACTGTATTTCACATATATTTAATGGAATAAACAAGGAACAGTAATAATGTCTTGTGGGAATTTATAAATATGTAGAACAGTGGAGAATTTTGGTAGATACCACTTTACTCAGTGATCATGGTTAATGCATAATGCATGTCAATATCACCCACAATGCATGTCAATATAATGTGCTCCCTGATAAAGTACATTAAACATGCCTAACCCTGGCCATGGCTGGGTAACTCAGTTTGGAACAACAAATCAGATGTTTTTCTTTCTCACTTAGAATTCAATTTTAAAAAATGCCTAAGCTCAATCTAATCTTGAGACAGTATCACACAGCCAAATCAAAATACTTTCTCTAAAATAACTAATCAATTCTCTTCAAAGTGGCAAGGTCATGAAAAACGAGGAAAGACTGAGAAATTGACACAGGTTGGAGGAGACTAAGGAGATATGACAACTAGAATGCAAGCTCTTAGATTGGATCTGAAACAGAGGTGGTTCATTTGTGGAAAAACCAGGTAAAATCCAAATCTATCTATAATTTAGCTATAATTTTGTATGAAGGATACTTTCCTGGTTTTGGTAAATGTTTTGTGGTCATAATGTTATTATAAGATGTTAACATAAGCAGAAACTTCTGTAAAAGGAATACTGGCAACCTGATATTCCCCAATAATCACTGCCTCCTGGTGTTCATACCCCTGTGTAATCCCTAACCCTCCAGGGTGGGCTAAAAATAGTGATTCATTTCTACCAAAAAGAATGTGGCAGAATTGGTGAGATTCACTTCCAAGATTAGGTTACAAAAAAAAACTGTGGCTTTTGCCTCAGGCACCCTCTTTTGCATTCTTACTTGCTTTGCTCATTTGAGGAAAACTTAGCTTTCATATTGGAGCAGACTTATAGAAGGAAGGAACTGATGTTTCTTGCCAACAGTCACATAAGCAAGCTTGGATGCATATCCTCTCAATCAAGCCTTGAGATGAGACCACAGCTACAGCCAATACCTTGTTTGCAACCTTGTGAGAGACCCTGAGCCCAAAACACCCAGCTGAGCTATGCCTGGATTTCAGACCCACAGAAACGTTGGGATAATATTGTTTTAAGTTGCTATATTTCAGGTAAATATGTTACACACATCAATAGATAGTACAGGGACTCAACTATCCTTTGCAACTCCTCTTTAAGTTGAAAATTATCTCAAAATAAAAATTTTTTAAAATATTTAATACTTGTATGTTTTATCCATACAAACACACAAAATCATACCTTGCATAATAACGGGGGTACATTCTGAGAAATGAATCCTTAGGTGATTTTGTTGTTGTGTGAATATCATAGAGTGTGCACTTACCCAAACCTAGGTGGTATAGCCTACTACACATGCTATATGGTATAGCCTATTCTTCCTGGGCTGTAAGTCTACACAGCATGTTACCGTATTAAATACTGTAGGCAACTGTAATACAGTGCTAAGTATTTGTGTGTCTAAACATATCTAAAGACAGAAAAGGTACAGTAAAAATATGGTATAAAAGATGTAAAATGGTACACATGCACAGGGCAATTACCACGAATGGAGTTTATAGGACTGGAACTTGCCCTGGGTGAGTCAGTGAGTGAATGTGAAGACCTAGAATATTACTGTACACTACTATAGACTTTATACACACTGTATACTTAAACTACACTAAATTTATTTTTAAAACTTTTCTTTCTTCAATAATAAATTAACTTGGGCTTACTGAACTTCTTTACTTTTTAAAATTTTGACTCTTTTGTAACAGCACAGCTTAAAAAATACAAACAAATATTGTACAGCTGTACAAAAATATTTTTCTTCGTATCTTTATTCTATAACCTTTTCCTATTCATATAATTTTTTATTTTAAGACTTTTAAAAGACACAGACATACACATTAGCCTAGGCCTACACAGGGTCAGAATCATCAGTATAACTATCTTCCAGTTCTACATTGTGTCCCACTGGAAGGCCTTTGGGGGCAATAATGGGCACCTCCTATGATAATAATGCATTTTGGACTACCTCCTGAAGGACCTGCCTGAGGCTCTTCTGAAGAGGTGGGACTCTTTTCAGAAATATGTCCATGGTGGTTTGCTTTGCTGTTTTTTTTTTTTCATCATATATTTGCTCGTAAGGAGATAATGCACCATGAATACTCCTTTCTAGGAATGAAAACATTTCAGCCTCGAGGCCCATATTTTCAAAAATTTTTAAGGAGCTTGTTGAGGTCTGCAAAAGCTTCTGCTAAAACTTTCACTGTACATTTTCTAGGAATTCCTTTTCTTCTGCAGTCTTACTTTCTCTTGCCTCTTCAGTTAAGCATTCCTTTTCCAGTTCCAACAACTCCACTAATTCCTGAAGAATTAGTCAATTCTTCTATGAATTCCTCAATGTCATCCTCACTCATACCCAGGTTACAGTTTGTCATCTCAACCACAAGTTTGTTATTCTTGAAACCTCATCTTTGGCAAATCATCTGGAGTTACAGATATCATCAGGCAATAAGAATTTTTTAGCTCCATTATAATCTTGTTAGACCACTGTCAAATATGCCATCCATCAGTGAGCTAAACGTCATTATGTGGTATATGACTATATACATAGTTTGAATTATGTATGAACTCTGGAGTCAGACACACCTAGGTTCAAATGCTACCTCCAACACTTAATGCCATGCAATGTCAGGTAAAACAGTTAATTTCTTTAAGTATTAGGCCTTTTAAATCTATAATTGAAGTAATACTATCTATCTCTGATTATACTGAATAAAAAGAATGATATAGGCAACCACTACGATGCCTGGCATTTAGTACATTTTGAACAAAAGGCATTATTAATAGTTCATATTTATAATTATAATTTACTTCTCATTAAAGGAACTCAACTCCAATAAGTATTTTATCACTTTGATGAGTTTAAATATTATATATAAATTTGTCAATCTTTTAATTTCTAAACAATTTTCAAAAAAATTATCAATAGTGGTTTCTACTGCACCTTACTATTTACAATATTGAAACTACAGATTCACCATTTGTTTGTTTTGCCCCAATTCAATTCTCAAATCATTAACTTTTAGAGCTGAAGGGACCTTCAGGATAGAAACCCTTTCCCTTCCACCATCATCCACATGAGTGCCAAAGATATTAAATGACTTGTCCAAGAAGATAGTTGGTAGAAGAGCTGGAAGTAGGGTTCAAGATTTGGAGAGACAGTATAATGTGGTAAACAAATTCTTGCTTTGATTAAACTTACATTTGAATGCCCAAACTGCTGCTTACAAACAGCATTATTTGAGACAATGCTGTTTGCTGACAAAGTAGCAATGTCTATGTCTCAGTTTCCCAGAGTGTAAACATGGATACCACCATCTACCCTGTAGGGTTATCATGAGTGTTAAATGATATAACATGTTTAAGTCTCTCATTGCCGAGACTACTACATGTGGATATTGAAAAACATTTTTTCCCTTTCTCCTTTCCAAGGCTAACTGTGACATGCTGGCTTTCCAACTCTAAGATGAAAACATTAAATGTACAGGGTGGTTCTGTTTAGCCATAACAGAAAGTTATTAGTCTCTTGTAAGAGACTAATGTAAAACTGAATTAATGAGCCTTAAAATTAGGCTAAATAATATAAATCTAATGTATTTCTCCCCCGAACTGGATTTCTTTCATTACAATACATTATGAAGTAGGGCATCACATGAGAGAGAACATTATGCATTACTGGTAATGTTAACTTTGATTATTTGGCTAAAGTGATGTCTGCCATACTTCTCCACTGGAAAGTTACCTTTTGACATTGTTTATACTAAATATTTGAGGTAAATCATGAAATGGAAATGAAAAGAGAGGGAGAGAGAAGGGAAGAGAGAATGTGCAGGAGAGCAAGCATGCACATGCATCCCCCCGAAAGCCTGGTCTTCAGCATGTCTCTAACACAATGAGGAATTGATAACTTGTACCACTGCACGATCAAAGATTCTTCTCAAAGTAATTCAATGTTTTAAATAGTTGAAGCCAAGTTACTTTCTGGTATTCTTTTTTACTTTGATATTTATCCCTGGAAAAACTTCTAGCAGATTTATCAGATATAATCTCCCTTAAGAGAATCATATTGCTTCCCCCCAGAAACTTACATTTGCTTAGTTATTTAAAACCCTTTATGACAAATTCCATCAGCTTGCTTGTCATCACAATGAGACTCACCGATCTGCAGATATTGAAGTCCCTTCTGGATTGGAATATTCTTCCAAATCTGAAAAGTTCACTTGTGTTTGCCTTGATGTTACTATCTGGCTATTTTGAAAAGGTCTGGTTTTCAAGTCTTTAGTGCCAGTATTACCATCTTGAAGAGACTGTTTGACTTGAAAGTCCGGTGAAGATTTAGGTCCTAGAAAACCTAAAGATTCTTGATCATGTGGTACAGGTTTACTGATCAGTAATTTGGAGGTTGGTCCCAATATTCTTGAAGATATAGTTTGTAGGTCAGGATTAAACTCACTATTCATCCTTGTTTTAGAAGCAGGATCCAATGAAAGAAATCTTTTATCTAAGGCTCTGTTATCCAAGCTGGAAGAAGTCTTGGGGGAAATAGTTATATGCACACAAGAAAGTGCTTTTCTGTTTGAAGGTGGAGTAGATGCAGGAGATATTACTAATGTACGTTGATTTGGGGCTGATTGGGAGGCCACATTATTGACCTTAGTTTCAACATTTATGTTAGAAATGTGTGATTTAGGCTTATGTTGACCACTGTTTTCTACTACACAATCCTGATCTTGAGGAAGAGGGGAATATTGTTTTTTAATGTGGTGATCTATATCTGGGGCCTTGCTTTGTTCAAAGAGCTGACGTTGTTCAAGAAAAATGGAAGAAGGAAGGTCTGAAGCTATATAATCCTCACCTTGAGGAAGGGGAGAGTGGTGTTCTCTCATCTGATGGTCTACATGTGGGGTTTTGCTTTGTTCCAAGGGTTCTCGGTTTTCAAGAAAAATGTGACAAGGAAGGTTTGGAATCACATAATGCTGATGTTGAGAAGGAGGAGAATGGTGTTTTCTAACATAGTGATCTGAATGTGGGGCTTTGCTTTGTTCAAAGAGCTCTTGTTGTTCAAGAAATATATGTGGAGGATTTGGAGTTAAAGTTACATTCTTCTCTTCTACTCCTAGTGTGGAACTTGGTCTGCCCATGCTAATGAGAGTATGGTTATCAGAGAAATGGACTTCTTTGAATTTGCTACAATTTGTATTGGTACTGGGCTCAGAATGATTGCCTTTAAAATCTGGTTTTTCTAAAAGTTTCTCTTCTTGGTGGGAATGCTCAGCAGATAATTTTTGGCCTTGGCTACTACTCTCTGCTAAAATAGTCACAGCTTTATCTGGTGAATGACTAATGATTTTAAATAATGATGAGGAAGAAGTTTTCTGTTTTAGATCTCTAGGAGGACTCTGCTCTTCAGTGGAATGAGAATTAAATACCCCTACAGATGTTCCAGAACACTGGCTATCTTCAGTAACACCAACCTTAAGAACAGAGGAATCTGAAAAGCATTTAGAATGTCGGTGAGATGAAAAAGTGATGGAGGTAAACTTTTTCATGGATTCTGGGGGCAGCATTTGTGATGAAGAATGACAATCCATTTCTTCAGGTGGCAAACAATTAGGTTCTACTAATTCTGACAGCCAAGGGTCCATCTTTTCACGAAATGGCATTCGAAAATCCTTGGTAATTCTGAAGTCGTCACCTGTAAAGTTTTGAAATGGGGAATGATTTTGTAACGGCAAGGAATTCCAAACTTTGAAGTGGGGGTTGCTCTGGTCTAGTGATTTGGAAAGGTTGATGTGTCTGGGTCTCCATGATAATGGGCTCCGTTGTCTTCTGATAATTTCTAAGGGTTCAGCTGATCTGAAGACACAGGGATGGCTGTCCAGCTGTGGTTGTTTGGAAGAGAGAGTCCTGAAACATCCTTTTTCATGGCTCTCAATAATAACATGACTACACAGAGCTTCTGGCTTGCATCCTATTCCCCGTGGACTCTGCAACCCCTAGAAAATATAAATAAGATTTTACTTGAAGTAGTACTAATATTTATACAAAAATCATTTTGTTGATGTTTTATAATAAAACAGGTAAGGACAACAAGAATAAGACAGTTAACTATATAATAAAATGGCCCAAGATGACCAAGACCATGCAGCTAATTTCTTCTGCAAACTGTTCAGAAAAGTAACAACAGCAGACTACTGCTGTCCCCAGTATTCTCACCATTTTTCTTTCAGTAATCACAATTCCATACCACAGCTTTTTCTGGTCCCATAGCCACTAAGCTGCAGATAGTTCTAGTTTCATTTGAAGGCAGGAATAACTATATGACTAGGTTTAGATCAATGAGATATGAGCAAAAGCCGTTAAGTACAAGTTTGCTACTTGTCCTTAAAAAAATTAAGTTCTAGACTTCCACATTCAACCTACTACCACCATCACTACAATCACCATTACTATTGCCAATTGAAATAGGTGATATCTAGAATAATCTTGGAAGCCATGTAAAAGGATGACTCAACTACCCACCCAGCTTGGGTCCTTGGATAACCTCAGGGAGCTTGCTTCTGTTCCTACCCTAAACTATCATGTTAAAAAAAACCCCAAACTATCACATAAATGAAAAATAAAATTCTACCTTATTTGAGTCATTGTATTTTTGGGTTTCTTTGTTGGAGAAATCTAGCCTACACCCTAATATCTTACCACTTAGAAAAGAAAAAAGAATTAGTACCTCTTTCCCCTACGATTGAAGATTAGTATCCAATGCTACCATAAATGTAAGTTTTCTTTGAGATTTCAGAGTTTTACCTATAAAGTCGTGACTTGGCATTCTATTGGATGATATAGCCATACTTGATATTACATAAAAATATTTAAAAATATGTTGTCACTTCTGGCATAATGGAGTAGATGTGATTTTGCCCTATTCTACCTGCTAAGTCCAACCAAAAATCCTGAACATCATACATAAAACATACTAAGAATCTGAAAGATGTAGAAATGAAGGCAGACTGGCTAGGGACCTTGGCACCTGAAGAAGGACATGGTAGTGAGATCCCTGGGTTCTCTTTTTTACCTCATGTACCACCGATGTGGATCTGAAAAAGCCAGCAGCCCAAAAACAAAGGGCACAGACAAAAGTTCTAACAAAACTTTCTCTTATTAGCTAAAAAACCAGTAAAGGTGAAGTCTAGCAAGACAGAAAACTTTTAGACAAAAATGGATCTATTCCAGCCACACACCATAGGAAAAAAATGTGGCCTCACCCTACCCATACCAGTAAAGTCTAAGTGAGGAGCACAGACCATGCAGGAGCCCAGAACTTATTTCCCTCCCTGTGGTGTTACTGGAGACCACGCAGGAAAACTGGATCTTCATTCTTATTCAGCAATAATGAGGTGGCCCTCTACCCAACTACCAACTGGAAGAAAATATTTGCAAATCTCATATTCAATAAAAGACTTGTATCTAATATATACAAAGAACCCTTAAAACCTAACAGTTAAAAAAAAGAGAATTCCATCAGAAAAATGGGCAAAAAACCCATATATACTTCACTAACAAGGATAGAGAAGGGAAATAACGTCATGAAAAGATGTTCAACATGATTAATGCATTAAGAAAATGCATCCCTGATCAGATAGCTCAGTTGGTTAAAGTGTTGTCCTATTACACCAAGGTTGCAGATTCAATCTACAGTCAGGACACATAAAAGAATCAACCAATACATGCATAAATAAGTGAAACAAAAATCTCTCTCTCCCCCCATTCCTCTCTCTCTTTAAGGTCAATAAACTAAAAAGAAAGAAAGAAAAGAAAATGCAAACTGAAGGCACAATGAAATGTCACTACAAACCTATCAGAATGGCTAAAATAAAAAGTCGTGACAATATGAAATGTAGGTGAGGCTGTGGATTAATGGAATCACACATCACTGGTGGGAGTGTAATATGGTACAACCAACCTAAAAAATGGTGTGGCAGTTTCTTAAAAAACTAAACATTACAACTGCCATATGACCCACCAACAGCACTCCTGCGCATTTATCCCACCAAAATAAAGACATATGTTCACCAAAAATATGCACATGTTTACAGCAGCTGTATTTGTAATAACCAAAAACTGGGAAACAACCAAAATATCATTCAATAGGTGAATTTTTAAACAAACTGGTAACCTCTATACCATGGAACACTACAGAGCAATACAAAGAAACAAACTATTGATACACTCAACAACTTAAATATTCTCTAAAGAATTACACTCAATGAAAAATGCTAATACCAAAGGTTACATAATATATGGTTTCATTTATATGACATTCTTGAAATGACAAAATTATAGAGAGGAGATTAATGACTACCAGGTTAAGAAAGGGGTAAGAGCTAGAGATAAGTGGGTGTAGTTGTTAGAGAGCAACATAAAGGACATTTGTACTAATGTAAATGCTAAGCATCCTGACGGCATCAGTGCCAATATCCTGTTTACAATATGTTATTATAGGTTAGCAAGATACTACCATTGGTAGAAACTGGGTAAAGAATAAAAGTATCTATCCATGTTATTTCTTACTACTGACTATGAATCTTACATTTACTTCAAAATAAAATGTTGAGCTTCTTTAAAAGACAATTAATTAAACACCACAGGACAAAACTAATAACAAGATTGTGGTAGATTAGAAGTTACACTCACCTCCTCCCAGAACTAAACCAGAATTATAACTTAATTATAGAACACTCCACCTGAATAACCAACTGTAGACTAGATGAACAGAAGTCTTATAACCAAGGATTTACCGAAAAAGCCACACTAAGACTGGTGAGAAAGGTGGAGACTCAAATTTGGCAGGTCCTGCACCCATGTGTGGTAGCTGAGGATCCAGAGGGATAATCTCAGGTGCAAAGATCCTCCTATAAGGAGCAACAGGGTTCAAACATGTGCTAGGCTCCTCAGCCTGGAAGATCAAAGCACAAAGGAAGAGCCCATATAACATCAGGATGTGAAAATCAGCTAGGATTATGTCTGTCAGTGGAGGGAAGGTGGCTCAGAGCAGACCGGAGTCATACAGGGAGAGAGTGGGTTGTGTGGCTTTGGGGAGAGGGCCAAATAAACAGCTGCCAAGGTTCCTGTACTGAGTTCCTCTCCCACACCACCCGCAGAAGTCATCTTTCCTAGCTTGAGGACTAGACCTACCATCCCAACTCCCTGTGGCCCTGCCTGCCCTGCCCTGTGGAAGAGTCAGCTGGCTAAAACTAGGCTGGGACCACAGTGCAGTCTTTCTTGGAAGGTTCTCCAGGTCTGGGTAGATTCAGGGGATGGCAGAGATGCACAGGGAGAGACTTAAGTTGCATGGCTCTAAGGTGAGGGCCTTTTTTCCTTCGACAACTGGCACCACTTGGCACCACTGCTCTGTGCAGAGACTTCCTTCTATGTAATCAAAACCTTGACCTGTTTTACCCTGATAAACTCAGCTGGCCTCATGCTGATGACTGCATGAGGCCCCACCCCACCTAAAAGATCTGCAGGTGACAGCTGGCCTTGGTGTACACTGACTGAGATTTTTGTTGAGTGACCTCATACTCAGCACTGACACTTTGAATCTGTATCAACCTGGTGACCACCACTTGCCCCTACCTGGTGACTCTCTGAGAACCTATCTTATGGAACTCCCATACTGCCAGAGGCTCTTTCAGGGCCTTGGTATGCAGCTGGGCAACTCCCACACATACCCAGGCGCAGCAGAGGTAGCCCCAAACTGTGGGATCACTTTGTAGCTCCAAACAGATAGCCCAGGGCTGGTCACAGGCTGGTCACAGGCAACTTCTGACATTGATCTGCATTGGAGGCTCTCCCATAAGGCTTGAAAACCAACATACCCTGGTGGCAGGCTATAGGCCCGATCAGGGAATGACCAAATTAGTTCCACAAGTGACTACACAAAGGGAGATCTCAGCATGCACCAGAACCTGCACAGCCACTTGTACACTGTGGTTGGGGGAGGCGGTCAAAACTCATAGCCAGCCAGACAGCCAGAGGATCTCCTACCCATGGATGGACCAAAAGCAGTTGAGACTAAACTACAACAAGAGGGCTCACAAAGTCCACACAAGAAACACTCCTGGAGCAACTAGCTCAGGTGATCAGACTCTACAGCACTGAGACCCAGAGGATACCTACTACATAAGGCCACCATACCAAGAGTGGAGACATAGTAGATCTACCTAACACAAAAATACAGAGAAGCAGCCAAAATGGGGAGACATAAAACATGCCCCAAATAGGCAGGAAAGGTGGCTGGCAGACCCAGCGAAGTGGTGGCTTGCAGACTGGGTGGTCCCACATTCGCATGCAGATAAACCAGGAAGACAACTAGGGAGTGAGAAAGACCATGCAACCAGGGTTCCAGTACCGGAAATAAAGCCTCAAACCTCTCACTGAAAACACCTGTGGGGGTTGAGGTACAGCAGAAGAAACTCACAGCCTCATAGGAGAATTTGTTGGGGAGACTAACAGAGTCCTAGAACATACACAAACCCACCCACCAGGGAATCAGTACGAGAAGGGCCCAATTTGATTGTGGGTAGTGGGGGAAGTGACTGAAAACCGGCAGAGAGCAGAGTAAGCAACACTATTCCCTCTTGGACCCCTCCTTGACATATGGCGTCACAACGCAGCAACGTGGGTTCCCCCACCCTGGTGAACACCTAAGGCTCCGCTTCTTACTACATAACACGTGTGCTGAAAAAAACGTCCCAATGAAAGAACAGTTCAAAGCTCCAGAAAAACTACAACTAAGCAACAAAGAGATAGCCAACCTATCAAATGCATAGTTCAAAACACTGGTTATCAGGATGCTCCAGGAACTCATTGGATACTTCAACAGCGTAAAAAAAGACCCAGGCAGCAATGAAGGTTGCATTATGTGAAATAAAGAAAAATCTATAGGGAACTAACAGTGACGAGAAGGAAACCAGGACTCAAATCAACAGTCTGCACC